CTTATGCTTAAAAATAACTTCATTTTTAGGACAAGACAGGCACTGAGAACCCCAGATGCTGGCCTTGGATTTCGATGTATTGGAATGTCTTCTCATTTCTCAGCCTAGATTCCCATTACAGAGCTACAAAATGTACCGTCCCTGAAGTTATTTGGATAAATGTTTTTTGTTTGTTTTGTCTTGTTTCTTCATGGGAAGAGGATGGCCTTTGTGGAGATTCAATACACTCAGGAAACTGAAGAAGCATGGAATCTGAACCATGAATACCTGGGCATTGTCTTCTTTTTTATTTTATTTTATTTTTTTTTTTCTCTTATGGAATATAAACGGCAATATTTTAAGAGGGAGGGGAGAAAAGGGAGAGCAAATTTTTGTCACTAAGTCAATCAAAAAATGTATTTGTCACTTCTATACCTTTCTCTCCCTTCCTCTCTTCCTTCCAAAACAACTGGACCTTTCTTTTTGTGTTTATTGCATTTGTAAAAAAACATCTGTAAGAGAGTAAGGGAGAAAAGAAACTAGAACAACTGTGTAAATCTCATAAGTGCAAGGAATACTCTTGGCCTTTGGTGAAAAGTGGCAAAAATAGAATATCCATCAATCAGCAACAAATACAAAATTGTTCATATGTTTCTCAGCTTTGGAAAACACCACCTTTAATATGCGTGATGTAAAAGGAAAAACAAAACAACAACAACAACAACAAAAAACAAAGATGTATGAAATGTATGCTAAAATGGATCCCTTCTCTGTTCTCCACAAGGATATCTTCCCATTTCAACAGTCTGGCTTATGAAATGAGTAAAATGTCTTTCCCAATACAAACTGGAAATTGTTCTGATATACATGTCTCAGTCCTGCAGCCCTGTAGCTTCGTGCATTAAAATATGGGATTCTTTGTCTCCTGGTTTCATTGTTGTTTCTGTGTCTGTGTGAGGGAAGGGGAAATAGGAAAAAAATGCTTTTGGGAAAAACCTCAGTAGAGGCAAAGAAAAACTGAGAAGCATGAAAAAAAAAAAAAAAGAATAAGTTGGCTCATTTTTCTGGGGGAGAATCATTTGAAAAGGAAAAACAAAAACAAAAAACAACAACAACAACAATCAACCATTCTGTCCTTTGGTGGGAAAAAAAATAAGAATACTGAAGCTGGTACAGTTCATTAGGAAATAACAAAAAATCCAATTAACAACACTCCATTTAAGCAAGATGTATTGTTAAAAGAGACATCTTCAAAACCTAGTGGAGGAAAGATAGTCATTGGAACACTACTAAAGGACCAGAGTACTGTATGAGAGAACACAAAATTATCAAACACATAATACACAACCTGTAACAAAATGTACATATAAATAATCATGATAGCAATTCTGCAGTTAGAAAATTAAATGTAGTATTAAGATAATAATAATAAAAATCTAAAGGGAATTCAAAACTCTAGTGGAGATTGACAAGTGGAAATCTGTTCCTAGGAAAAAAAAAGGAAAGAAAGGTGTTAACTGTACATGAAGATGCAAATAAGAGGCAAGAAAATATATAACCATGACTAACTGTTTTTGGAGAATCTACCTCGGAAGCATCAATCCTAAACAGAGAAATGCATTGAACAGGCCACTGATGAGATCACAACAGTATCTCATCAGTGTGCTTTAGTGTGCAGCAGACAGACACCAGAGATAATCACCACCATCCCTGGGCCATCTCCTCGGGGCTCACTTTGTGGGCATCTACTTCCCTTCTCACCGTGGCTCCTGTGTTTTCTTTTTCTTTTTTTCCTGTTTTTTTCTTCTCAGAAAGAGCAGTCAGGCATTGGGACGGGTTGCCCAGGGAGTCACTGTCCCTGGGGGGGGTGTTCAAGGAAAGGTTGGATGTGGTGCTTAGGGACATGGTTTAGTAGTGACATTAGTGGTAGGGGATGGTTGGAGAACCCTTGGGCTCTAGCACTTGTAAGGCTGAGGAGCACCTTACAGCTCATTCTGACCATCTCCTTTCTGTCCTCCCTTCCCTTGTGTTATATTCGATTCTTATCTTAGTGGCATAGATATTTCTGTACTATAAGGACTACACATTGTCAGATATTATTACTGGCTTTGTTGTTGCTGATCACAGGTGAAACACCCATATAATCACATGAATCCAGCAACTGGGACTTACACAATGCTCATGGGTATTCCAGGAAAGCTTCAAGGGCTGGTAGTGCTGCATGTGAGCATTCAAGCCCTTTGGTGGAGCAGAATGAGGGGCAACAACAACCAGGCTAAGCACAACCACTCGGGTTAATGAGCACCACGTGAGCATGCTAGGCAAGAGGACTGCCCAAGTACAGCACCTGGGGCACACCAGCAACCTGGTGAAGCAGAACAGAGTGAAAATAACAGCTGGTGTTTCACCGAGTGCATTGGCAGGGCTCTTCGTGGAAGGATATGCAGGTCAGCCCAAGGTGTATAAGCAAAGCTGTGTGTGGGAGAAGGCTGGAACAGTGCCTGCTGTCTGCTGTATCCCAGGACTATGCTATCACTGAATTTTGTTTTCACAAGCACAAGATTCACTCACAAGCAAATCAGAATAAATAAGCAATATCTCCCCCTTCCCTTCCATTCCTTCTCTCCCCTACCCCCCAATCCTGAATTAAGAAAAAATAACCTCCTATCTAGAGAATGTTTCTTTTAAAAAAATGTGGCCAGGAGACATGCCAAGTTTCTGGAAGATCTTTTTATAGCACTAGCATCTGGCTCTTTGGGAGTCTCCGTAGGGAGTTTTGTTGGTGACTTTACATCTGCTGTGGTTAAGCTGCTAATGGACTGGCTGTCTGGGCTGCTGCCTGCTCTGCTGATTTCTTAGTACCATGCTTTGGTTATTTGAGGAGTTTGAGCCTATTGACTTCTTGCCAGAATTACATAGTACATTCCAGCAGCGACTTGCATTGCAACACCCAGTCATGCAGAAGGGGTTTCAGATGGAGCAAGGATATTGGCTGGCATTTCATTACTCTCTCCTTAAACCCACCCAAGCTTGGATGAGAGTGGGGTATGAAGCATGGACTGTTTTTGATCAGGAAGCCAAAGAGAAAGTTAATACTAATATATATATATATATTTTTTCACTGAAGTTCATAATCAAATAAACAAATGAATACATCAACAATTTCATTTTTGGGATCAAAAAAACTACTTTGTCCCTCCCCCAGTGATATATTTCAGCTCAGTTTTTGACATATTCAACACTCTCTAAAAACTCTTTTTAACTTCATCTAGTTAATTACTTATTTGTAGTGAAAAATCAAAATGTTCCATCTGTATCATTCTGAAATGAAACATTTTTATATTTTCAATATTTTTCTCTCTGACTCTGATTTTTTTTTCAGCCATACCTGTTGTGAAAATTACACATGATTTTAAGCATGAATTTCATCCATATTGCCATTGCCCAAAGACTATGAAGTTTTTCTTGGAACTGTTTTGGGGGTTCATTTTTCACAGCTGACACATTTGAATTTGTAATAGATTTGCTCTTATGATGAGATTTATTGCCACTTAGAAATACCATTTTTTCCCTCCACTGAGAATAAAGTGATCCTAAGCAGCTACTTCAGGAACAGGTTTTTTGAAGTAATTTCAGTGGATTAATTAGGAGTGCATCTTGTCATTTGCAATGCTCTAGAACATTTCCATTCCTCCTGGCTCTAGCTGTTGCTTAGAAATATGCATATCTTCTGCGTATTCTGATATGTGATTATTATGGATGAGACTTATCTTATTCAACTTTTAAGCTTGACTGATTTGCTTACAAAGATTGTTTCTCCATAGACTTTGCCTATAATTACTTCACCCCCTCCTCACTCCACCACTCACCATAAAGCTAGGGCGATAGGTTTATTTGATTTATTTGGTTGTTGTAGCAACATTCTTGGAGGGGTAATGATGTGAAGAGGTCTGAAAATTCAAGCTTAGAGGTAGAATTAATATCCAACTATATGCTGCTGATCTTAAATATATATATATGTGTATACATAGAGATGCAACTACACTTCACAATGTAGACCATGTGAGCTCTGAATTCACCAAATGCCTTGTGATATAGCATAGCTATTTTTCCCCAGTTTCATTTAACATGGAAAATTCTTTGGATTCCCTAAAGTTTCTTATGTGTCCATCTAGGCTTCTTCTCACATTTATCTTGCAAAGTTGTTGAAATATGTCAAAAGCCCAACAGAACAGCAAAATGAATGTTTTCATTTATACATCCAAAAGTGCCTGTGTTTCTGTACTAGCTGTTCTGTGAATTCCTTCACTTTCCTGTAATAAAAGTGCCATGGGAGAGTTATGATGCATGCCAAAGATAAAAGACAGGAGAAATGAAGAAAGAAAAGTTCGTATGTGTGTAGGTAGACCTATGCTGAATTGAAGCAACTGTGTGTCATTTAATTTGGGACGGCACTAACATTTGCAGCTGGGCTTCTGCTCCCACCAGGTAGAATTGATGGGTGCGTAGGTGCATGCATGCAAACACCCAGATAACACAGAATTAAAGTATCTAAAGATGTAATTTGACATTTCTGGAATGAAGTTTCTAGTTTGATGGTACTAGGCTTTTGGGAGCCTAGTACCAGATAAAAAAAAGTAAAATAAAATCAAACATACCAGAATCTCATAACCATACCATAAAATCAAACATGCCATAATCATGTAACACAAAGTTCTGTTTCAGTGCAAACTCCCTGTTTTTCTTCAAACTTACTCAAAACTTCTGACATTCACTTGGTTTAGGCAGACTTATAGGTGGGGGATCACAGAATCACCTTTCTCTTTCATTCTAACTTCTTGCTGGGTATCCAGAAATTAAATGTTATTTAATCTAACTTAATTAAGTTAACTTTTAGTAGCTTCTGTAAAGCTTGTATTAGAGAAGAAACTCAGCACAAACTCTAAACCATGCCTGCTGGACAGAGTGAGAGTATTGCAATTGTTCAGGAAAGGTTTGGGCTGGAAGAAAATCCATGCAACTTTCTGCAGAAACTCAGTCCCTTCCAGCGCTCATGCAGTGCTATATAAAAACTGAGGCATTACTTGAAAATTTTCTGGTAGCTGCAGCTCAAGAAGGCACCTCTTGTTTATGTGGCATCTCCCTTCACACTTCATGCAAACCTTCTGGCTGCATGAGGTCACACCAAATTCAGACTAAATTCACAAAAAGTGATGCTTCTGCTGATTGTTTTGATTTTGAGGAGCTCATTATCTGATGATGCTCAGTCATGACTTCCTCCTACCAGACAGCCTGTGTTTTAGAATATCACCTACCAAAGGCAATTTTTAGGGAAGAAGAAAAGCCAAATAAAACAAAACCTCTATCCCAGTCAACTCAGCTGAAGAAAAAAACTCCCCAGAAAGTGCTGAACTCATGAGTAATTCTTCTCCACTGACATTTGTAAATGCTGAGAGATGGTAAATAATGGGAACAAAGATATTTGGAAAATGCCATTTTCAGGCAACAATTAACATCCACAGAGTAAGTCCATGCAAAACCTGTTTTTGAGAACCAAGCATTTCTTGAATGGAAATGCTCATGGCTTGCAGAAAACAATGAAGTTATCTTTTGAATTGTCTCTGTCCGACTCATGTCTCTGTGCTGCCGGTGGCATTTATTTTTTCTCACAGTGTACCCAATTCTGAAGTGTCATTGCTGATTTGAATTGTGGTAGGGTCAGTCCACAGTCTTCTCCCCAGGAAACACATAGGCAGATATTTTTAAAACACAGAAATAGTTTTGGATCTTAAATTCCCCCAAGGAATTTACAGCACAGGTATGTAGACTTCTCTAGATTTGATCAGATGGTTTTCATTCTGATTACCTCAATCTGAAAGGACAGGTCCTTGAAAACACGGCATGTGTTCACCACTTTTTTCCCCCCTTTTTCCCCCAAAGTAAATAAAATTTGGTTTCTTTCGTCCTTGCCTACAACATCATTCCTTTGCTGAACTGAATGAGGATCAGTGGATGATCATGCTGAGCTGCTTGGGATCAGTGTTCGCTCTGACTCACACTTGTGCAACACTATAGCATGATGTGTGGAAATGGAGTGAGCAAGAGGACTTCCAAGCTGGATATTTTGAAACTAAAATCCAGGTTTAGTCTGGACAGCTAATTTACTGTCTCCAGAGCAGAGCTATCCAAAGCAAACCACTGTCCATATCCAGACCTTGAATAAATTTTTATAAAATCTCTCCAAGGTCCCAGATACATAAAATCTTCCATATTCCCATAAACAAAAATTCTGGGGGTCCCAATGTTGTTCTGCTGACTTTTTCGCATTGTAGACAGTACATGCTTGTTTGATATGCTGGGGCTGGTGTGGTGTTTGCTGCAGGGAGGAGACTGGATCTTGGAAGCATGTGTGCACGGCCCCAACTTTAAAGGTAAATTTTATAGTAGTGATGTAGCTCTGCATAAGAATGGGTCTTGGGATAAACTGAGTAGCCTTGGTAGCATGTAAATAGTACGGTGTTCTACCTGTGGCCTGTGAATTTCTGAATGGCCAGGCATTTCTGAAGTGTAGGCAGTAATATTACCAGGTTAACAAAATGCCTGTATGCAAACATACCTGCATGCCCTTATCTTACTGAAGGATGCATAGTGCTGGTCTATGGAGACATGGAAATTTCTTTCAGGTTGTCCAATTGGGACACACATGTCAACACAGACACCATGGGAAGTGGATTAGAGTAAAGGGATGTGAAGGAGTGGACTGCAGTGGACTCCACCCCTTGGCAGTGGACTGCAGAGGTCTCTGCTTCCCATCAAGTCTTCTGAGATTAATTTCTCTTCTTCAGTTCAGCAATGCCATCTTCCCAAAAAGGCCAGGAAGGACTTTTGCTGTCCCACAAATGGAGTTTTGTACCCTTTGGAAAAAAAGAAAGTAGAGTGAGAAAAATGAATGCATACGGGAGGCAGCAAGTAAATACAAAATATTAATATGTTCCAATACTACATGTATGGTGAGCAAATCCCAGATTGAACAGAAGTACTATTAGCAGCTACTTCTCATTATTAATGGCTATTAACTTTAAAATTCCTAATAATCGTGATTCTTGGCTAGGATTACAGCCATTGACTGGGACCACACTGCACTTGCCAGAACAAAACTGAGCAAAGAGACAGTTTCTGCACTGTAGAATTGACAGTCTAGTTTCTTTTAAAGCTATTGTTCTCATCAAAATGCATGTTTATGATGTTTACCCAGTGATTCATGGCACAACCACACAGAGAAGTGAGTAACTGACAAATATACACCATTTTAAGCAACATTATGGTGTGCAGGAACTGTATGAAGAATGACTGAGGAAAAATTCTTCAAAGTAAAGCCCAAGCTTTCATGTCTTTCTGGGTCCAAATTGTTAATAAGTGGCGGAGTAAATTCCCACTTCTGTTTTGGAGAACGTAGATGGATTCGAGTATGAGAAACATTGTCAAAACCCCTCGTAAACTGGTGTTTTGCTTTCTGGCATTTTGCACCTCTCCTGCCTTCACACTACAGTTGACTCACATTGTCACGTCCCACACAGCAGCAAAGTGTGGGGGCTTTGGCTGTGAAAACATTTTATCACCCTAATAAATGTTGCGTGAAAGGCTAGAAACTTCCTGGTCTTCAAACACATGCTCAAAGTCCTTGTTTAGAGGCATTTCATGCTTAGAGGTTTTCACACTTTGCGCAGGTGAAATACTGGAGAATTTTGGCCTCCAGAATGAGCATGACCATGGAGCTAAAGTCAACTCCTTCAAACCCAGAGCTGATGCAATAAACTGTTTATACTTCACTTTTCTCCCTTTATATATGATTTTTAGTAGCATTTATAAGTGTGAGCATTGTGTGGTGCAGCTCTGCCAGCAGAAGCTGTGAGGATCATCACACAGGCAAAACTTCTCATTTATTGGTACGGTCTGCACACAGAGATGAACTCATGGCCCAGCTTCACCAGCTGAGGGGGAGCTTTCGGGGAAGAGAATAAGTGGCTTACGCCTGCAGAGCTTGGGAGGATGCTGTTGTAGGACACCTGAGACCACATTGCTTCTCCTCATCCTAAAGGGGCAGGCTGTTTTTACTAAAGAGACCTTTCCTCCACAGCTAACAATACAGTGCTTATGATAAATGGGTTTAGGAGCCAGGGAGCACGTGTGAGAAAGTACTGACACACCACACATGAGCCAATTTCAAATTGCTGCTATTTAAAACAGGGTGTGTGTGTGTGTGTGCATTGAAGTGATGTTTTCCAAGCTCAAAGCTGGAGTCTGCTTCAGAGCCAAGGTAAAGTTTTAAGAAATAATGACTGCTTAACTACTGTCCAGATGACCCTAGTTTTTTCTACACAAGCACTGAAAAAGGGAAGAAAAAAAAAGAAAAAAAAAAAAAAAAGCACTCAGAATAATAAATAATAAGAACATAACTTAAAAATGTCCAATTCTGCTCAGTGCCCAGTTTGCTGTAAAAACAAAGCTTTGAAATGTAAAAATGTAGAAGAAGACTGAAAATATGTGCCACAGGGGACTATTTTCTATTTCTACTATAAATCAAAAGCACTGTCTTAAGAAGTTGCAAGGTTAGATTTGGTTCGGGGCATATCGATTTGTGGGTGGCAAAGTGTGTGCCCCAGGCTGTGTGGCAATTTCACGCTACTCCCAGACAGCCCTTAAAATAGAGCAGCCACCTAGAAAGCTAAATAAAATTCTCTCAGGTTTAGAAAACAGCCACGATTTATGGGAATGCACCAGAATAATTTGAGCCGCGTGGTTTTGTAGATCAGCTTTGACTAAGATCACCCCATGGATGTAGTGAGCTGCTCCTGCTCATGAGTCCTGCAGGGAGAAGGTACAGGATAAAAGGGGGAATCCAAGTCGGAGGATGTTTTGTTCCCAGGAATAATGTCAGAAGATGGTATTTCTGCCATCCCAAAGGAGGAAGGATGGGAGGGATGTTGTAAGGTATCCCTTCACCATGTGGTGGACCTTCCCCACATTAATTTACTGAGGACTTCACTAGCTGGTTTCATTTACTGCCTGCTACCCTGTGATGGCTGAATAAGGAATGAGCTCCCCATTGGGCTGTTTTAGGACATTAGCTGTTAATCACAGCTTGAAGACTAGCATCAAACGACTGCTCTTCAATAAAAATATCCTTCATTTTTCTAGAGAACCGCTTTTTAGCTGTTGTCAATGTATCCACCCATTATGGACACACAACCATCTTGTGCTCACTGGGATTAGGTGCTCACACGTACATGGCCACATGTGGCTTTGCAACCAGTTCTGCACGTATCTGCATCAGTGTGCCTGTGTCTGGGTCTGGCTCCCATCTATGGATGGAAATCTGTTTTGGAAGGGAGGGAATGTGACAGGTTTTGCTGTTCTTTTTTGTCTATTTCTCAGTAGAGAGGCATGTGTCTCCCTTTGCAGCTATACAGGCAGGGCTGAGAGCCTGTTAATGAGTATGACAAGCACATTCTCAGGGTACAAAACCATGTGTATGGTACATGTGCATGCACCTTGTTAGGCTGCTATCTTCCTTGTTGGTGAGAGATGGTAGAGCCAACATAGGCTTATGGTGCCCAAGGAACCTCCTGAGCAAGATGTGATTTCTAAAACATAGCACAGGTTATAAGGGACATTCAGCCCAGCCTTGGTGGTCAGAAAGCCTGAACTCCACCTCACATGGCTTATTTTCCCATTTCACACAGTTGGTCTGTACCAGCTGGGAGGTCCCAGGGCCTCCCTCCCGCAAAAAAAGAAGATGCCCAGTGAAAAGAGGGCAGCTGGATCCCAGGGAAGTCTTCACAACCAACCAATGGAAATAACTTGTCTGTAATCTATAAGGCACAATAGTTCCAGAAACTGCTCTGGGGAAAAAGCACTCCAAAGGCTTCACATGGAGGTGGGGTGGTAGGCTAGGGAGCCTCAGACTCTTTTTTCCTTTCTCTTCTCTTTTGCTGACTGTCAAGAACCAATTTCCCGGGTGGGAAGGAAGTGTGAACCTCAAGTCAGACACAGATACTCTATAAATTAACAAAACCTCAGAGAGACAGGAAGTGTCTAGCGACAGAGCAGCATAGCCAAAGACAACAGATCCTAAAGACACCCAAAAATGCTCCACCACCCCCTCCCAGTGCTACCATTAAACATACGTTGGCTCCATTTTGGCTGGGTTTGTTTCCAAGAGGTCAAGATGCTCATCTTGTCCCCAGCCTGCCTGGAGGTTACATAAACAAAAGACAGTTAATTGAAGACAGTTCATTGCTCTCCCTCCTTCCCTTCCTCGGAGGATGAGCTCTCAAAAACCTCTCCAAGGGGAGAATGGGAAAGGAAGGGAAGGGAAGGGAAGGGAAGGGAAGGGAAGGGAAAATTAGGTTGGACAAGCACAAAATCTGTAAGAGTGATTACCTGGATCATGATCAGTAATCAGATGCCATGAGTCCCTTTCTACCCATGAAGTCTTCCAAAGGCTTCATCTCACTAGTATACATAGAAATTCAAATATACACCATTACTGACTTAATTGCAAATACATATTGATAGTACTGAAACTGGTGATTTCTTACTGGTTTTCATGAAGGACACACACTGACGAAAGTCTGAAGAAAAGCCAGTTTATATTCCTGTCTTCCTTTGCCATGTTCTTTCCAAGCATGCTTCTCCCCCACCTCTCTGAGCTCCAGTAGTTGCAGGTTGATTTAGAGGTTTGATAATTTTTTCAGTGATTCCTGATTATCTGCTGCAGTACAATGAAAGATACAGACAGGGATCGTAATTGGCATCTTGCAAACAACTGGCTGAACAACAGGGATGTAATGAGAAATTGCTGAAGTACTGCTCTGCCTGCTACACACGCGGCAATGTATCTCCCCTCACACAAATGTGGCAATTTCTGAGAATAATATCCTTTAATGCTCTGCAGATTTCATTTGTCAGGTCTGATTGAGGATGGCAAAGCACAGAACAAATGTCCTTGGACAGAATCCTGTAGGACAGCGGTACGTAATAGCTGTCATACAGTATTTGCTATGGGATTTACGTGACTACGAGTCAACATTTCCACCTGTGCTAGATACCTTGAATTCTTTTTATTGTTGTCAGAGAGGTGCTCTGCTCAATACAGTTAATAAACTGAAGCAAGAGCCTTCTCATCCTAAAGGTTGTGCTGAAGGTAGGTTCAGATGAATTATTCCCTAAATCCCCATTCGTCTCTCCTAAATATAAAGGAGGGAAAAAAGAGAGTCTAACTCAGCTGTACTTTGACACTGCAGACCTTACGGCTCCATTCTCCATCTGCTGCTATTAAGAGCTTAATGTGGGCATGTTTATCCCCCCAAAGCCAGGTGGGTTGGCAGCTGGTTGTAGATCTCAGTTAAAGAAAGCCATGGGTAGCAGCCAGAAGAAGTCATTTACAGCTAGTTCATGCTGACCTCTTAGGTTGCTTTCTGACTAATTTTTGGTGAGTTCTGCCCACTGGGCCACATCCCTGGTGGGACTTGGGATGATGTGGGCAGCAGGGGAATGAAACTCTATCCCACTGTCTCTGCACCACATTATCACCTCCTCTCTCAAACAAGGCAGAGCAACGTGGTAATTGCTGAACTGGTTTGCTGGATCTGCTGAGACATTTCCACAGCCTTTGGCCACCCAGTGCTCACCTACTTGACCTCTGAAAAACATTCTGTATCTGAGCATGCCATACTTTTCTCAGTCTTTTTGGCTTCTCTCCAGGAATAACTCTCCTATTTTACTCTGCTTTTTTTTTTTTTTTTTTTTTTTTTTTTTTTTTTTTTTTTTAAAGGGTAACTGAAGCTTAACATTGTTTCAGACCACACGCACATAGATCTGCACTAATATATGTATTGCACTTTACTATCTGGAAAAAGGCAAATTTGTCAATAGGAATAAAGCCATTCAGAGACGTGAGAGGCTGGGAGATGTACAAATCCCTCCATATTCACTCTAAACAAAATAACCAACTCTTTCATAAAGGAGAGTTCAAATGTACTCTATGTTTGCTCTGGGGAGTTCATCTCTTATTCATTGAATTTTGCTGCTTTCTATAGAAGGCATTGAGTGGGAAATTGTGGAAGGGAAGGAGTGTGTCAGGCATGAATCTGAATGCGTATTTGAGAGCCCATTCACAGTTGCATGGTGTTGGCATGTGAATATATTTTCTGCAAGTCTCCAGACTTTTCAGTTTGTCATAGGATTGCAGGGTAGCGTTATGTGTAGACAGTATTGTAACCTCTAGTGGAGGCTAGAACATTTATTGCAGCAGCAAATGGCCTCTCCTTCTTCCTACATGTTTATAGATATGGGATACATAAGTGGGGTCTAGACAGCTAAAAACAATCTGCTTTAATCAATTAATTTTATCTGAAGATATTGAGAAAACAGTCCAGCTAAATCACCAGAGAGGAGGTAGCAGAGAAAGGTAAGTGAAGGAAAGCTTTGTAACTAGACATTTGTATCTCAGGCATCTAAAGTTAGGTCAAGTAAATCTTGAAAGGGCGGAAGACATCTATCTACTCAGTGAAAGAAGCAGCTTCGTTTGCACTGTTGTTTCAGGTGAAAATGTAGAATACATCTACCTCTCCCAGTTTTGGGGCCCATTTATAACAAAGACATAGAGTGGAGCAAGCTCAGCAAGAGAGTAACCAAGATGGTCAGGAAGTGAGGAGAGGCTCAAGAATCTATGCTTCTGTGCTCTGGAGAAGGTAAGGCTTTGTGGGGACCAGCCAGCAGCCTGCCAGTACCTGTGAGGAGTTGACCAAGAGTATGGAATCAGGCTTTGCAGAATGATGAAGGTAGAAGGACAACAGATAACAGTCAGAAAGTGAAACTGTGGTTGTTCAGACTGGCTCCAAGGAGGAATTTATATATATTTTTACCATGAGGACAGTCAAGCAGTAGAATAAGTTGTTCGAGGAAGTTGTGCACTCTCCATCTTTTGTGTTATTCAGAATCAAACTTGACATAGTAGCTTGGCCTGGTCTCATAGCTGATCTTGTTTTGAGCTTGAGGTTTAGAGACCTCCTGAGGTGAGGCTTGTAACACAGTAGGATCATGAGCACACTCGGTGTTTGTGCTGTTACCACAGAAGACTTAAATGATATTTTCTGAGCTCTGATGAGCCCTTTCAGTTGTTCTTCCCTCATTTGATCTTCCTTTGCTGTGGCTCCCTCCCTTTTGGAGTGGATGGGCACTCAAGACTCAGTGTGGGTAGATCCTTCTAAAATTGCTGTCTTCTGAGCCTCTTCCATCAGCTCTGGTTTAAGGTGTGTGGTACTGACATATTTAGAGGAGTGTATTTGTGGGAGAAAAGGTGTGTTTTTGATTTCACACCTGAAGGAGTAAGACAGTGAGGAGGATGAGGGGAAATGTCATATGGTTTTCTTGTGACTTGTTCGGGTTTTCAGAAATATTTTCCTTTACTTTGATATCATGGTTGGTAGACCAGAAAAATAAAAATAAACATTAAAAGTAAATAAATAAAAAGAAAGAAAAAGCCTCACAGTTATATATTTATCCTTAAACCACAAAATTCAAGCATGACAGTATATCGGGCTATTTCAATACACACAGGAAAGCTATTGTTGAGCAACATTATTCCTTGGTTTTACTACTGTAATGCAGGGGCATGTGTTAGAGTTTAGAAATTCCCTAAAGAGCAGCTGTTGGCCTGTAGCAATTTAATTGAGAATGTAACTATGGCTAGTTGATTTTATTTCTAAATCTGTCTTTGGCTCTTTTCCCTTTATCTTTGATCTAGTAGGCCTGATCCAAGGGCCACCCTGGACGGGGCAAATCTGCCTTAGAAATTGATGAAATTGATTTGGATCGGTCTTGGTCAGCACAAAGGTTATAGCCAAACATGTACTTAGCTTTATACCCCATCCTTGCAGCTGTGGGAACGAACCTAAAATAAGAACAGAACTTTCCATTCCCTGAGGAGAGAGCTGGTAGAGATTTTTCTAAGCATATGTGCATCAACTGGGATATGTACTGCTACAGTTTTGATGCCATAAAAGTCAGATGCCTAAATCATGGCAACAGAAGGATCCTAGATACTCCAATATTACCTTGTGGGCAGTGGAGACAGACAGGTTCTTTCAAAGTGTGGTTTAGAGGAAGGATCCAATTAATTGTTCTGTATTGCCTTCTCAAGGCATCTTTTTTTTCTCTGTTAATAACAGAGGGAGCAAAGGAAGATTAGGTTCCTAATGTAGATATTGGGTTAGAGTCAGATGCAAATCTAGATGCTGACCCACCTATGCATGTCTGCCCCAGTGTCCTACCTCCCCTCCCAGTGTAAGAAAGATCTAAGGTCAGTTCCATTTCCTCAGTGCATGTATGTGAAGCCATTTGAGATTCCCTAGGCCAAGTATCCTGCCTCCTGGGGGACCAATGACAAGGGACAAGAGAAAGTTTCAGGTAAACCAGTGTGCCTGAAATGGCAGTAGATGCCTCTATTTGGCAAATGATTTTAACCTCAGGTCTGTGTAGACCATGACTGGATACAAGACACCCCATTTGTATAAACACACTGAATATAGTCCTTTGAATCCAGGTGATTGAATCTGCATGGTGGTGTCAATAACCTTTTACATCACCTGAACATTTTAAAGTCCCAGTCACCCCCCAAAATATCAAGAGTAAGACTAAGAAGAAAGCCTATTTGGATGTCCACTGGTGGTCAAAGCATGATTTACCTGGGAATAAAATGGAGCAGCATGATCCTGAACCTTCCTGATGATTTCCTTGAAATATATATTATTAGGCAGTTCATTAGCATACAGAGTGCCTGAAATGACCCTCAAATTAACATCTTGGTGCATGTAGAGCTCTGAGGAGACACCAATCTGCATACCAAAATGTTGCAGCTATTTTATCTCAGAAGTATTCTCATGCTAAGAGGTCTGAGTTTCATAAAATCAAACAGGGCTTGAGTGTAAACCCAGGACTTCACTTCATTTTGAAGGAAGTTTTCCTTAGGCCCGTATGTCTCAGCCTCTGTTGACTATAATTGAGACTTTACTGTCAAGCTGCATGGAATGTGCATGGAATATGATGGAATATGTGGAATACGTACATTTTAGTCTCTCTTTTTTTTTTTCTTTGTTTGTGTGTTCTCTATTGCACCAAATCTCTTTGGTTCTCACAGCTATTAAAACCACAGATGTTAAATGGGAAATAAATCATAATAGCATCTCATTGCTCATATATAAAGTTTGATTGGGTATTTAATACCTTAACTAACCCTTATGCAAACACCTCACCAAACTTGTGCAAGACTTGAGTCTCTTCAAGCAGATTTTTTAAATTTTTAATAAGATTTTAATAAGAGAGAGGTCAGGAAAGGGAGGCAAGGCAGAAAATAAGCCATTTAGAACTGCTTTCTTTATAAAGAAATTGAGAAAATATAGCAAGCCAAAATTAGCAACAGAGGAAAGTTTTATACAGTGGCCCTTACTAAAACCTCTAAAAATGCCTTTGCAATTACTCTGACCACACTATTTCCCAGATATTCCTGAGGCTAGACATGTATTGGATCCTAATTACAGGGAATATCATGATGAAGGTTAATCACTAACCCCAAAATTGTAGGGACCCACATGAACATCTCTGTAAGGAGATAATCAACATTTCTGTAGGATATATTAGTCAAGCTGTGATCTGTAATCCCTATTCAGGCCACTCACCACAGTACCGAAGGTAAATTTAGGACATCTGTCCTAATATCTTAGATTTTAGATAGGGATTCATGGCTCTATGTCAAGATGAGTCTCCCTGACTCTGAATCCCTGCACAACCAACAGAGGAAACTATGGTGAGGCATAAGGCACTTACAGAACTGGACTGAACACGACCCTTTTTCTGAGTAGGAATGAAGATCTATTGCCAGTAACCTGAGCACAACTTTTTTTGTGCTTGGGATATACAATTCAGCCTCAAAACCTTGGCCAAACCACAACTGAGAGACTCCAGTGCTCTGTATTTGACACCTGACTTTACCAGAAAATTCATTGCTGATGCTGGATGTGGCTTTTGCCTTGGCCTTTCCTCTCCATCTGCAAAACACAAGCTATAAAAAACTTCTTCATCTACTCAGAAATGACTCATCTATCTAGTCACAGAAATCTAATTATATTTTAGATGACTAAAGTTATCCCACTCGGTCTCCAGTACAAACTTAGATGATCATGTGTTTCCCCTTGGTCTGTTTTTCCTGTCACATCTTTTAGCCCTGTGTAGATATCTTGAGTATCAAAAGGTGCCTCAGATATCACAAGACACCGAATTTTAGGTTCCCAGATTGTTCCATGGGTGACTATCATTAAACAAAAGTGCAATACACACAGGATCATAAACTTATTTTTGGTCTCCTGAGAGTCATCAGAAAGAAGCCCATCTTCTGATATCTTAAACAGTTAAAAAAAGATTCTAATGGGAAATAAGTAAAAGCAGGAATATACCAGTTTCTGATCTATACCAAAGATATTCCTATAAAAGTTTCAGAATCCAGTACTCTTTGAGCACACTGGGTGAAGAAAAAGAAGATATTTGCTTTCTTACAAAGAAAGTTGTGGTCTTCAATACTGACACAGGATTTACAAGAGAGCTGTGCTTCCCCAAACTGCAGCTGGAGGTCAGGCAAGAGAACCCAAGTCATTTTCAGTAACAATTAATGCATTGTGCTCAGGGAATTGAATTAATCCTTCAGGCAGGAATTCATCTTGCAAATTCATGTGTCAAAATATAGGGGGCAGTATGTGGGACAGGTGTGGAAATTGGCATCACTGTGATCTCAGCTTAAGCGTCTGTATCGATATGTAGAATCTTCATTTGAGATGTTCAGGAGGGTCCCATCTGATGTTTCTGTTCCAGGTAGGTGTCTGCCAGGCCCTGTGCTATGTTCACCCTCCCCTGCATGGGTGTCTTGGATACTGAAAGACATTTTAGATGGAAATGATTACTTAGACTTCAACAACTGAATTACATCCCTATTAGCTTTGCAGATGGACCACGCTCTAACTTTCACTGAATCCATCGACCATTTTTCCACTAACTGAGATGAGATTTTACACAACCTTTTCTCATACAGACATTTGCGTGTTTTCACACAAAACTTGAGTTTGAATCTGCAAGCCGAAAGTACCCTGAGTTCAGTGATTTGGTGCATGTGGTTAACATTTCTCAGAAGTTTTGCAGTATCCTGCAAGACTCACTTCTAACCTGTACCTCCCTAACTTTGGGTAAATTTCCTTCTCTTAAGTAATTTCATAGCACTAATATAGACACTAGCACAGTGTCAGGCAACATTTTGTTTCAGAGCTGGGAGAGATTATGGGCATGCATGCTTTTTACCATGGGTCAGTGACATGGGATAAGTTAATTAAGTGCAATGTGAGTAAAAACATGAACACTTTCAGTCATATGAATGTGCTCAGGAATCTTTCTCAGTGCATCGCTTTGTTTCCCTTACTGCAAACTTAAAGTGTGCACTACCATGTCACCCAAATTCAACACAGTGCCTCAGCATTTGCTTTTGAGCATGTGATGAAGCAAACCCCTTGTACCCACTCACAGCTGGGTGAGTTTTATGTTCTCTTCCAGCATTTTATTTCCACATTTTATTTATTCACTTTTGTGGTGGCAAATGACTCCTAAAGCACCTTTCAAGCAAGCAACATTAATTAAAAAAGACTGTTTCCAAAGGCGTAACTTGACAGACTTGAATTTACAGCTAAAGAGCAAAAACCAGTGTTTTTGGTTGTTTGTTTCTTTTGCATTGTTTTTAATATACGCAAATGACATGGGGATTCACTAACAGCTCAATTCAAAATTGTTTCATCCCCAATAGGGGCCATTACAAATATTGTTCAAAAACAAAGGACATAGTCCATTTATGAAAGTTAATGGAGCAGAACGTTCACTTTAATTCTGAGTATTCCCTGTGTCTGGTCCGGGCATGCTTGTTTGTGGAGTTTCATGTTTTAATTCAGAACAGGTGTTGGATGGAGAAATTGAAGAATAAATTGACCAGACAGGCAGCCTGTCAAGAACCAAAATAGGCCACCAAGGCAGGAGGTGGAAGAGAGCAGGTTGCAAACTGCATAACATCTAGGGAAAGATTGATGCTCTTGTTCAAGTGTGATTGAGCGACTGTGTATTTATGATTTCCTTGAGCAGAGTCTGAGGTTTATAACCTACTGGTTTTAGACTGTTTTTGGACATGGCCATCACTCACCAGAATTAATGTGCTTTTCTTCCTTACAAACATCTTCAAAAATGAAAATACTCTTCCTTTAAAAGGGAATATTTCAGCATTTTTGTATTCAAATCCTTCTTTATTTCTTCTTCTGATCTCAAGCAAAAATGGAGTCTTTCTTCCCCATTTGTTTTTCTTTTCTCCATTTTTTTTTTCATCCTCTGAATGCTTCCCATGACAGTAAAAGAAGCAAGTGACAGCAAAACCTGGGAAAAGAGGAACTGAAATAAAAAATACATTTTCAAAGCACTAAGAAATTTTATTATTTTCAATTAAAGGTTTTGTAAGTTCCTTTAAAAAGCAGAAGATGAGCTGTGTTAGGAAAATCACTGCATTAAAATTTTTCAACCAAAAAAACCCACAAACGAAACAATCTTGGAAGACTGTAACTTTCAACTGCCTTTGTCAGTACTTGGAGTCAACAATACAGGTGCAATGTTAATGAAGAATTGAATATTTTTCCACCATTTTCCACCATTTGCAATGTAATTGCATATAATTTGGAGAAGGTGGAGGCTGAGATGCATACCCAGCCATGAGTTTCCAAGCCTCAGTATCCCAAGCCAGCTTATAGAGGTTTAAGCACACATTTCAGATACCAAATCCATAGATAACCCATGAGGAGCAGATGGCACAGGTTGTGATGTACTCCTTTTATTTGGTTTAATTATAATCTCAAGAAAGAAGGTATAGCTTCAGGTACGAGGTATAAGGTATATTCAGGTATATATATATATATATATATATTATATATATAGGTATTTATATATATATATTTAAACTAGGAGCAACTGCAAGTTCCTGAAAATTATTTTCTTTGTGCTGGGGACAAAGAATCACAGAATCATAGAATGTCTTTAGCTGGGAGAGACCTTAAAGATCACCCAGTTCCTCCAATCCCCTGTCACAGACAGGGATGCCATTCCCTAGATCAAGTTGCCCAGGTCATTGTCCAACCTGGCCTTGAACACCTCCAGGGATAGGGCATCCACAACTTCTCTGGGCAACCTGTTTCAGTGCCTCACCACCCTCTGTGTGAAGATTTTGTTCCTCCTAACTCTTAATCTAAATCTCTCCTCCTCTACTTTTAAAACATTTCCCTTTGTCTTGTGCTATCTGCCCAAGAGAAAAGTCGTTTACCATCTTTTTTAAAGCCCCCTTTAAGTATTGAAAAGCTGCAATGATGTCACCCTAGAGCCTTCTCTTTTTTCAGGCTAAACTTACCTTTTAATTTATTGGTCCCAGCAAAAATCTAAGCTAGGGAGAAAAATCTAAACTAGGGATAATCTAAACCAGGAGCATGTCCTGGGACTCTATAGGTGTTTTCAAGGCATCACTACAGATATTCTCCTTCCTCAACAGGAAAACCAACAAGGAAAATGAAGATTTTTTCTAGGGACTGAAGCTGGGACTGGAGGTTCCAATGTGTACGTAGAGCTTGAAATGGGGCACACAAAAGTTTGGTGAGCCCCAGTTTGATGTGAAACAGCTCCTTCAAAACGCATGCTCAGCTGGGTCCTAAATTCTGGAAATATCCACATCTTCCAAAGATGTGCCTGAGTGACTTGAGCTGTGAAAGTCTACAGCTGTACCAGACGTGATTTTGCAGAACTGCAAACATATGTTCCTACTTCATCAGGTGCCATGTAACAGTTCAGGCCTCACATAGGTCCTTTCCTTATCTACATTTCATCTGAATGCAGTTGGATTAGATTAGGTACAGAAATTTAGGAGATATTTTCCAGCTCTAAATCTGATACAAAAGAAGTTTATTTTCCACCAGCCTGAAATTTCGTGTTTCAATATTTTTGAGGACCGAAATCAGCACTATCCCTGTGTTTCTGCTGATCTATCATAGCTGGAAGCTCAGCAAGCCAGCTCCACTCATCCTCATTTGGAGCACTTCAATCTCCCTGTACAAGAAACAGACCCAACAACATATAGAGGTTTCAGATGTTCTTGGATCATTAAGAACAAGAGGGAATTCATTAAGTTCTTGCTCTGTAAGATATTGGGGCTCTGTGTCTTTTTTTGCAAGTCTTTCTTTACCAAAGTCACCGTAATTTCAGTGAGGTTGTTCTTCAAGCAAAGCTGTTTAAAACCAAGAGGATAATTCTGTGGGTTGGGACCTTACAAAATGGGAGATGAACTGACTGTTATGTGATGGCAACAAATCATTGTATTATACCTACTGTAATAGGAATCACAGCTTACAGTATAAAAGATTTTCAAATGGTTTCAATCACATCAGAAACTCCTAATGGAATAATTTTTTTAAATAAGTATGTATATAATTTGCAAATAATTATTTATATGATTTATATAATTATTTAAATGTTGTGTGACTAAAAATTTTAAAGTGATACTGATCAAATAGAACAGAAGACTAGAAGAAAACCTAAATTCTACAAACTATTCTACAAACTGTTTTTCACTTGAGTCCTCTGCAGAAGTTGTATACATACTTATATCTATGAAAAATACAGAGATGGAATCAAGAAAAAATAAATATTCTCCAGGACTCCTGCTTGCATGATAGTTGTACTGTAGCTAGATACTACCTAAATTATTCCTGTGAAGCTAGACTTTGTTTGTGCTGAAGTCAGCCCGTCTATATAGAAAGTTAACAGAGCCAAGTCATGGATGTGGGCAGTGTCCCACAGCTGCTCACACTATTACATTGTTAACATAGCCCCTAGCATTGCTTTGACCTGTGTCCAAGAGCAAATGCCCAGACAATGCTTGAGCACAGTGGGGATAGCACAAATGAGCTTATTCCCAGCATGAAGATTGCCTGTGGCCACTTTTTAGGGTGTGGGAGGGAGATAGTTTATTTGTATCAGCCAGGGACCAAGAACAGGCTGATTAAATAATATGCTATTATTTAATAGCATAGACATGGAGTCTTGTGTGTTGGTCCCAGTTGGGTTAAGTTCATAACATTTATCTGTTTCCAAAACAGAGTTAGAAAACTTGGTGTCATCATGGAGCATGACAGGAATCCAGCAGTGTTCCAGACCTAAAACCTGCACACACGTGTGTGCATGCAAACACTCCCTGTGCTGGAGAAACTTAAAAGACCAGTGACAGGACAACGACCCCACTGAGATGAGTCCAGTAGAAATCCTCTTTATGGGATGTGATAACTTCTAAAGGTGCACAATGAAATTGCCTTGCAAAGGACAGTGTGGATTACAGGTGAGGAAATTGGAGAAAGAACAAGATATGCTCAATTTTCTCTCTGCTGCTTCTATAATTTGAGTATCTGCTCACCTTGCCTTAAATACACTGGCATTTATGGCTAGGTAGTTGCATTTAACAAGGAGACTAAAAAGGAAAAGCAGTGTGATGAGAAATGTTAGATATGAGATAGAAGTAAGAGATTTTCCATCTGCTATCAAGGACAGCCCAGACTGGGGGAAAAAATAAATAAATCTCTGTTATCCATTTAAAGATTTAAAGTATTATATTTGATGGTAAGATAATAAAAGATAAATCCTGATATGTTTTGTTTGTTTGTTTGTTTTTGTTTTTTCTTAGACTGAATTCATGTCAAAGAGGAGATTCCCACGGGCAATGAACAGAGACCTTTTCCGGAATTCAGAGCTCAACATCTAGACAAATTCCTTCCTCAAGTGTTCTTTAAATTCAGGACTTAGATCTTTCACTTTCTTCAACCTTCAATCTTCAATCTTCAGTTTCCCAGCTCTAAATCAGCATGTGATGAACTGTAGTGATGAGGATGCCTTATTCATGGGTCTTCATGTATTGAGAGTGTGATTTCAAGATTATAAAAAACAAAACAACAATTAAAAAATAAATAAATAATGTTGTCTAAGCTACCCACTCTGTCTACATGAGCTTAACTCCCATGGGTGGCCCTCCTGAACAGTTTTTGTACTCTCAGTGTTCTGCAAAAATTTCTCAAGAATCAAGCTGGATGTCATGTTTTAATACTCTACCCTGAATAGTGGCCAGCAAGATGCTGGACAGGCCTTTTACGAGTAAGAGTCTCTATAGTCATCCATGTACCAGTGATGTACCTATGCCACTCACAGCACATTCTCAGCCTCAAAGACAGAGCATCTCAAAAATATTTCTGGTTTAATTTCCTTTTATCTAAAGAAAAGCAGAACAATGTGTTGACTATTAAAGAGTTGTAAACAGCATGCCGAAGACTTTATAAGAGGGTGACTTTTTATGATTTAAGATCATCATTAGGGAATTAATTCAAAAGTTCTCAGACCTGTGGAAGCAATGTGAGAGGGAAATGCTATTTGGCTATATCCCATACACTTCTTTTTTTTCTTGTTTCTTCTTTGTGTTATGTTAGAGATGTAGTAGACAAGAGTCTATAAATGTCACTACAAAAATATGTGAATAATTTTCTTTTTCTCTGTAATTCATTTTCCATTTCATGTTCTCAATAAGTAAGGCATTCTTACAGGACTAACTTCCTTTAGGATGAGTGCTCTGAAGCACTATACTTCCACAACTCACAAGATTTAGCTTCTCAGCTACTGAGAAAATATTGTCTGCAAGTCTCTCTGATATCTGAATGTGATGCACAAGCTGTTAATTTAGAGCATGTGCATAGGAAATGTGGTCCTGTCTGCAGACATTGGTGTGCTCTGGTCTGAGAGATTGTTCCTGCTCCTTTCAGTATGGGGTTAAGAGGTGATTTGCTTTATAAGGAAATTAAATAGGTGAAGAGGAAGAGAAATGGGATTTTTCAGCTTACCCAACATTTTCGGTGTGTTCCACTATATAGATTCCACTATATAGGTTTCAGCAGTAATCTATATTCTTCATGCTTTTGGCAATCTCAGTGCAGACATGGATCAACAAAATATCTGAAAACTACATTTCAAGTCCTTCATTCACTTTGAATGAAATAAATAATAAAAGGAATGAGCCAAGAAAGAGTAGAGATGGAAACTTCAAGACCTATTAAGAAATTGTGTAAAACTTGCAGCATTCTAGTATGAAATTCTGCATAGAGAGTGATCAAACATAGCAAACTTTCAGATAGAGTGGGAATTCATGGAATTGAATCAGTTATTTTGATTTAAGGTTAGCTGTCCAAAATAGAAACATGAGAGTCCCCTGCTGAAGCAGGTTTTAGCACTGGGTATGCTGAGCTAAGCCACAACCAGCTCCAAATTCCAATTACACCCACCTTATATACATACAAGACAAATCAGAATCGGTGTGATGATTTCTCAGGAGTTACTGCTGATGTTTAGCCAGGTAGGTAGGACCTGTGTATGTGAAAGTATCGTCTACTTACCCTTTGACTTTCCAGCCTTTCAGTGGGTTCACTTACCGACAGGCCATTTGGGTGGAGTTCAGCTGGACTTCAAGATCTGAATCGATTTCCCTGGGACCATAGCAAAAAAGCTGAAGTTTTGGGCCAGAACTCCACCTCATGTTATGTAAGCATCACTGGGGGATGGAGCCTGCATTGGTCTGGAGGATTTAGACAGGTTTTTACCAGGAATCTGGAGAACAAAGGTCAGAGCAGTTCTTGGAAATGTTTTTTTCTACTCACTCACAGTTTGTAAATGAATTTGTGATGGTAAGAGGACAGGAAAGATAGTCCTTGGCAAAGCAAATCATTGTGGGTTATTTGTGAATTTTTTGAACTAGTTTCTTTCATTAAATATCATTAAGCTCAAAGTATCATACCATTAGGAATTAAAATTAAAACAAAACAAAACAAGCAGACAAAATAAGGCATAGCAAAACAAACATAAAAAAACACTTTAATTTTCCAGAATTTGGAAGTTCTTTCCAGCCCAGCAAGTTTTTCTTATCCCCAGTAACCAATCCCCAATTACCTAAATGAACATCCGCTTGAAGGCTCAAAACTGCAGTCTTAAGGGTGCATATTCTGCCTTTCACTTCCCCGGGAATTTTTTTATTTTTTTTTAATGAAATACTGCATAACTGTATCTACACCCAGTCTAAGCATCCAAAATGAGAAACATCAACTTTCCAGCTCTCATTCTGAAAGGAGGAGCTCTGCCTATGATACAGCCTAATAAATTACAGACTGGTAAATAACCAAGACTAATTTCTTTAGCTCATCCTGTCCCTTCAAAATACCAAGAGTCAATGGATGACGTCAAGTCTGCGTGCTGGCTTTCAGTTTGGCTCACTGAGCTGCTGTGGCCAGTAATACCTTGGCTCCTCCAGGAGCTTTCACACCTTTGTGCACTTGACCTTTTCTTTGTAAGACTTGGCCTCAACTTTTTTTTTTTTTACACTCTGCTCATTGAATGAGAATAAAGCTTAGTGCCAGAAAGCTGCCACTGAAAGGATTGGGTAAAATAAAACTTGTATTAAAAAGACACTTCTTACAAGCAATTATCATTCTTGGGAGCTTTGGAAGTTCCTTCTGTGTTGGGAAGCAGATGCTTCAGAACATCTGTTGCACACAAATACAACTGGATTGACACCAACACATCCTGTTATTGTCTTGCAAAAACAGGGTAAGATTGCAGGTAAACAAGAAAAGGGTTGTAGAAAAAGTAATTGTTTATCTGAAAGCTTCCAGCCCCGTTCAGGAATTGTGCTGAAAGGCATGATTTCTCTTCTCTGCACCAGGCTTGATAATGGATAGACATTTGTTATGAGGGATTAATGATAATTGGCTCGGGAGCAAGCCACATCCTTGCCTTGTGTACTTCTGGCACTGTAATTCAACATGCTTTAGCCATGTTAGCCCATCTGGCTGGTTACTTCCTTCAGACATTTGGCTAAGCTAAATGATCTTGCTAGGACCAGTCAAGAAGGAATGCCCTAAAACTGCACGTGTATGCCAAATGAATATTTTTGGTTTGTCTTTTTTTTTTTTTTTTCTTTTTCTTCCCAAATTGTAAGCGATGGTTTCTCCAGTGATTTCAATTGTTTTCATTCATGTTCATTTCCTGGAGGATCTTAGCTAGATATTTGTACTTAAAATAAAATAAAAAAATAATTGTAATAACAACTCCTCTTCCTCTCCAAACCGCATACACTAGCACACAAAACTGGCATACTGTATTTTGCTTTGGGTTCGCCCTTTTTTCAAACTCAGGCCAAAGCTTGGAATGCAGTTGTACATTTTTAGCAGTCACATTAGCACCAAGAAATAATAGCTGAAGTAAAGATGCCATTGAGAGAAGCTTTGGACATAAAGTGGAACATATTCCAGTCACACGCTTTGTGTAGCTCTGACAGTGTCACCAAAGGTTATGCTCTTTTGTTTGCCATGAAAACACTGCATGAGTGGATCCTGTGACCTGTACTCCAACTTGCCATGGAGAACATCCCATCTCACTTTCAATCTACCAGATACTCCTGTTGCAGTAGTGACTTTTTGTAACCTCTGACTATACAGGTGACAAAATGCTTACAAACTGGGTGTCTGGGACCACCGGCTTTGACCATGAGTGGAGGCCATCAATGGGCTGCTTAAAAAAGGCACTTTGGCAATGTTAGAGAAGAGGGCGTTCCAGTTTAAAAGCTTTCTTCCTGGGTTGAACAGAAAAAATAACTAAATAAAAATAAATAAAACTAAAAATAAATAAAAATAAAAATAAATAAAAATAAATAAATAAAAATAAAAATAAAAATAAATAAAATATTGTGTGTGATCCCCTGCTAATCAGTCCTATCTCATGTATCTGGTGACATCTTCCAGGGCTGGAGAAACATTAAAACTGACTTTCTTCTGAAAGCACCTGAGTGTCATCAAAATGTCAGTTGTAAAAACACTGAAGAATGGCACTGAAGTTTTTCGTCACAATTGTCACATTTCTTAGTTGTGAGACATGGCTCTGTAACAACCTCTTTTCATTTTCCAACAGGAGAAAATTTATGCGGAGGTGAACTTTGAAGGCCTGCAGGCCGATACCCTACTAGGATGTTCAGAACAGTTTCAAGGATGCATCTCACAACTAAAAACACATCAGGAGATGTTTATTTGTTTACAAAGAAGTTATAAATTTTCATGAATATTCCAAAATAATGCATTTTCCAATTACAGTTACTTTTTCTCACTCGGGTATGATTCAAAGCCTGTGGCCAAATAGAAAATTCTTGATTCATCTCCCTGGGCTCTGAGGTTCCTTTGGGTCAAATTCTTGGTTCCTACAAAATCAAGGATTTCACTGCAGTTAGGGTTTGTTACATTGGACAGGAATCTGACTTCCCCAAGTCTCACTGGAACAATGCAACCCTGCAAGGGTGACCCACTGACTTGTCTGTGAAATAAACATCTCAACGAACATAACATTCCTTGCTGTAAAATCAGACAAATTGCCAAGAGTGACCATATGAATAGCAGATACGACCGTCTAGTCAAACCTGATAGATGACTGCTGGGATTCGGGGGAAGAATGTTTCACTTTAGTGAAGAGCAGTGAAGAAAAAGGGGACAAAACTTCCCAAGGGCTGAACCAAATTTTGTGGTCTGTAAATGTGTTCTATCATGTGAGCAGCTCAGAGACTCCTCTTTCCCAGACCATTGCAGCTACTACCATGTGTCTTAATAGAGTGCAATTCACTCAAGGCTTTGTAATGCAAATATCTCCACATGTGCTGATTACTGAGAGCATCTTCTATAGTTTGTAGTGATTTAGTCGAGAAGTGATTAATTTATAAAGCATGTGCCTAAAGTATGCCATGTGAATCCCACCTAATTTTCTTTTTTTTCTTTCTTTTTCTCTCTCTCTCTCTCTATATATTTATATATTATATATTATATTATTATAATTATATTATTTATTATATTATATATTATTTATATATTAGATACAAACAACAATCATCTTCTATGAAGAGAAATGGGAACTCAAATCAGCCAAACAATGTTGAATAATAACCCTTGTGCTGAGCAAAGAGACAGAAGGGAAGTTATTTTCTTTCTTTATATTTTGCTGATTTCCAGTCCATGCCTGATTGTCCTTTTCAGGCAACTTTGATATCTTCTCTCTCCTTGCTATAAGGGCTGTGTTTCTGCCTCCTAATGCATAGCAGCAGAAACAGCAGATGGCCTGGTGATATGGTTTGGGCTCTCTGCTCGAGGGTCTGCTGTGCGCTTTGGAAACAGCTGAATTTCAAAACACTTGGACACCACGGTCTGAGGGAACCAGTGAGCCATATAAGAGCACAGCACCCACTAATTCAACTGTTAAAAAGATGGGAAAAGATGACACTGCTAATGTGGCAAATGGAGATAAAGACATGCTTTCAGGAAATAACCCACTGGAGGGTGCCTGGCTACATTCTTGAGAGTTTTTTTTACACCAACATGGTTCAGGAAGGCAGGATTAAAGGAAAGCATCTGCCCTACAGAAGTCTGGGCAGTTCTTGCTGTGGCATACTTTCAGCTGTGTTGACGTGGCACCTAATGCTGAAATAATTGTATGTATCCTGGTGTCCAGAAATAATCTCAGATGGGGTTGTCACATGGCAAAGCAGCCTGTGGCTGCAAGGACATCAGTCCAGATGTGAGGAAGCTGTGCTGGTTCCAGCAGCTAACTTTAGTCTAACTTCGTGAAAACAAAAATGGTCTTGGGAGGACAAGGTTTTTATTGGCTCTGTTAAGCCTAAAGGCATCCCAGTAGGCAGGTCAGGCTTAGCCATTATTATGGGAACCTTGGGTCTGATCCAGAGCCTACTAAGTCAAAGGGAGTCTGTCCAATGACTCCAGCAAGGCTTGGATCTGTCCCACTGGGTACAGGACCGGAGACCTTTGAAAACATTGTTTTCCTCCAGTTCTCCAGTGTACAACAATTTTAGAAGTCCTGCATCTTTCATTTTTCTCTTTCCACCCCCCTCCCTCACTCTTGCCCTCTAATATTTTTTCTCTTTCTCTTCTTTGGCAGTTACTGGTCTGGAAAAGTTAGAGGAGAAACACGATCAGGCTGTTTTCTTCAGTCACACGCCGCCCTCAGCATTGTCTCGGGTAACCGGGCTGCTGTTTGCTAACCATCATTACCTATTTCCAGTGGAATTGTTATCTGGAGCTCCAGGTTCATCAGGCAAACTGGTGCAGTGCAGCGGAGATCCTGCTTTTTATTGATTGCTCTGGTTTTTATTGCTCTGTTGCAGGCAATGTCCAGCCCTGCAGGTGTTCTACCAAAGCCTGTAGCTAGAGGCCAGCTGCAGATTATCACCTCCTGGGGTGAGGTTCAGAGCAATGTCACTGGCTCCTTGTTCTTCCCACGCTTTCCTCTGCATCTGATACACAGAGATGCAGCTGGAACTATTTTCTGTGGGGGGGGGCAGTCAAGATATTTTCTGACTGCACTGTGCCATAGTGTATATCTGGTAACAGCTCTTTGCTTCTTTTCTGAAGGCCACTGAACCTTACCTGTGTTTTATCCCTGTATTATCATGGCCTATATCTGGATAAAGGAAAAGGGAAGCAGCCAGGAATCCCTCCTGTACTTGAGTCCCTCAGAATCACCAATTTTAGCATCCTTGCAACAAACTCTCCCCTTGCTCCCCCTACTCTTCACCTACCTACAGGAGAGTGAAAGATAAGGATTATTATTGCAAGTCGAGAAATGCAAAAATTAAGGGCCCTATGAGGTTATCTATACAAAGGAATCCTGTGTCATTGGAGATACTTTAGAGGTAACTTCAAGATAGGATGAGGGATATGACACGAGACTTGCAGGAGACATGCATCCTCCTGGAGCAGTACCTGGGACCCACACAAAGTATCATAAAGCAGCAAATGATCTATGTGTAGGCAGCTGAGTCATCTTGGGGCTGCACAGAGATCCCGTGCCAGTGCAGGAATCATAGAATCATGGAATGGTTTGGGCTGGAGGCATCCTTAAAGATCATCTAATTCCATCCCCCCTGCCACAGGCAGGGACACTTCTCACTAGACCAGGCTAAAAGCCCCATCCAACCTGTCCTTCAGGTAAACTTCTGAATCTTATAAACTACAGCCCTTCATCATCACCTTTATATAGTTACACTGCCAGATCAGAGCTAGCCTTGAAAACAAAGGTCCTTTATCCAAATCTAGATGTCCTATTTCATTTATTCATTATTTGCCAAATTCAATTGACTTAACCTGACACATGATAACTGATTGTTTAACATTCTTTTGCAGCCACTTTTTGGGTTCACTGAAGGGCTGATTTCATTCTATTAGGATTCTTCCGCTTCCAGGATGAAGCCACACACTAAAATAACCTTTCTGTCTTTTTTCACTTGAAGGGAAACTTGAACACACGTTCAAGGAGATGCCTATTTTGGATCAGAAATACCATGAAACATGTCAAGAACCCTCAAATTAGTAAATTAGTGCAGCTTTATATCTGCTGGAGAACCCTCAAATTAGTAAATTAGTGTAGCTTGTTTACTACAGATTACTTGACACAGACCTATATTGAAGTAACTCAATTTCCAAGTGTATGGGCTGTATGAAACATTTACTTCCATCTCCAGGGCACGAGAATTTATGGAAGCAGCCCAGTAGCCTGACTCATTTCCTTCCTTAAATGGGATCCTCAGGAAACAACCCTGGAAATATCTCCATGGAATTTACAGTCCTTCATGCATCCAGTCATTAGTCCCACTGCTGAGCCATGCTTGAGCTGAATAACATGTTATGTCCTCAGGCTTTTTTTTTCCCCCACTTTATTACTTGTATAGCAGCTTTTAGCAGCTGCACTCAGCCACCCCTGACCTCTGCTTCACTTGCTACATGAGGTCCTAGGGCTGAACAATGTAGACCCTAATTAATTCAGCACATGAAGTCTTTGGTTTGATAAGCAACAGAGCTGAGTAGCTGCAATGACACAGCAAGGTCTCTTTATTGAGCCACCACATAATAGATGGGTCAATCATGTGGATGTTTTCATGATATGCAAGCTCGTGGACATCCTATAAACTTCAAGGGTTTTGGTCTACAGAGTGTGCATGTCTGCGGGATGGAGAACTAATGGAGACTGGAGGACCCTGATTTGACTGGAGGACCCTGATTTACTTCCCCATCTGTCATCTGATTTTTAAGCTAAAGATTTCTAGCTGTATTTGAAGATTTTTAGCTGTATGATATCCTTGCACTGAGTGCTGTGCCTAAGACAGAAAAACAGCTTTGTCATTGGTCTCCTCGCTATGCTTGGCCAAAAGGCACAAGAAACTCTTTATCAAACTGAGCTCCATGTAGTAGTCCCCACAAATAGCTTGGAAGCGTCTCTTCATATAGCATATCTAGCTTGGTACAGGTCCCTAGGGACCACAGTTCTTGCAGGGTGGGAATAGACTCTACA